TAGTTACATGTATATGAATGTCAAAATCCATAATCCGTTAAAACACGAATTCATTTGTTAAAACTAGAATGGTTAATTAGATGAAAGAATTGAAAACCAATGTGGGCAGTACAATTATAGATCTTGTTTTGCCCTGAAAATAGGGGGTAGAAGAGGAGAGTTGTACCTGATCACTACCTGGAAAATTAAAAATGTGAAACAGTATAATTGTAGACTTTGTTTCAATAATATTTAAAACTAATTTTAACTAATAAAATCGGGTTTTAACGATTATGGGTTTTGACGGTAACATAAAAAATATAACGTACATCATTTGTACAAACGACGTAAAATATTTAGCAAGGACACATGGCGTGTCTACCTCCATCCACAGGTAATGTCACCCCTGTTATGAAGCTCGCATCGTCGCTCGCTAGAAATGCAATGGTCCTTGCAACTTCGAAAGTGTCGCCCGCTCTTCCTAGAGCATGCGTGGTTTTGCTATCCTCCAGTAAGCTCTTAATCTGATCTTCGCTCATTCCACTCCGCTGAAAGATGTTTGTTACTACAACGCCAGGATTCACAGCATTCACGCGCACCTAGTGCATTTTAGAAATAATAATTACGACGCGAAACAATACTTAAAAATGGTATAGTCGTTATATCTTTACACGCACCTGTTGCGATCCCAATTCTAAAGCGACGCAACGCGTAAATTGATCCACGGCCGCCTTACTCATACAGTATGACAAACCATTCGGGAAAGCTCGTAATCCAGCCAAGCTAGAAACGTTTACAATGTTGCCCTTCGTTTTGATCAAGTGCGGCACCGCCAGTGCTGTTAATTGATACATCGAGCGAACATTTACGTTGAAAATACTAAAAACAACATCGTTTTCGTGACATCGACGTATCCTCGAAATAGAATAAACTATTGTAGTTTATCAATTTCCAAACACATTTACACTATTAGTTCATTACATACTTATCGTACTGCTTCAAACTTATAGTCTCTATACCATCCATTTCAAAAATTCCAGCGTTATTTATTAAAATGTCTAATTTGCCGTAGTGCCTGATCGTCGAATCAATAATATTTTTCACATCGCTCTCATTAGTTAGCTCTCCCGTTACGATGAACGGCTTATTTTGGCCACATTGTTTGGCTACCTTGTCTAAATTCTTTTTATCGCG